TAGGTTCTCATTTATGAGGTCAGTTCCTTTTTAAACTGCTAAACTTTTTATGTTTCTGGGTTTCTATGGGTTCATGCTGAGTTAAAAGAAATTTCATGCCACCATTTATTCATCTATTTTACTTTTCCATTTTTATTTAATGTAGCAGAAAAAGCACAGAATTTTTCAATCATGAAAACCTAAAACATCAAAGGATATTTGATATTCATAGCTTGAATTTCACAATTCCAGGGGAAACGTTTTTGTAATGAAAATGATCCAGAATGGGGGTCCTAGAACATGTAGCAGTGAAACCACTCCTGCAAATATTCAAATAGCTACTTCATTATGTTATACTCAACATTTTAATTTAGTATTTAAGAATGGTTTGGGGCTATTAACATCTATGAGTATCTATTTTGATCAGAAAGAAAGCAGGGGACTTTCTGATCAGAATTACCAAATATATAATGATATCAGTTTCCTCCAGGAAATGGTTCCAAGGGGCCATCACGTGAGATGAAGAAAAGCAAAAGCCATGGGTGAAGATATTTCCTATCATAAATGTTTTTATACTGAGGAATACATAGAGAAAAACCAGGATTCTACCATTTGTGCTGAATTGCCTGTTGTGAAATTAGGATCAGCTCCATCCCTATGGATGGTTTGTTTAGCAGTTAAGAGAAACAGGTTTCTCCAGAAATTTTCTTCCTTGCCTATCCTGAGACTGGGTTAAGGCTACCAGACAGGAGTCTGGGTAGCAGAAGAGGAGCGGCCATTTTTCTTTCATACGGTTCTGCGGGCAGAGGAACCTGTGGCGTGAGAAGTAACTGCTCAGTAAGCTTCTTGTAAGGTGTTCAAGTCAGTGTTACAGGCTGACGTTTGTAGCAATAAATTTCCCCCTGCTGTCCCATTAAACCCATACTTGGAATGCACAGAGAGAGTGACTTCCGTTTCCTAGACTTGATCTTGACTTCATGCTGGTTTCTTCAGTCTTGGTGTGTGTCAGACCTTCTCACTACCCCAATATTTGTCTACGTGGATGTGACAATACTCTAGGACAGTGGTAGTGAACCTATGGAATGCTTGCCACCGTGGGCGGTTTGTATCATTGAAAGCTCTGAAAGGTTCACTGTCACTGCTCTAGGATGACAGCAAGAACTAACATCTTAAGTTGCTGATGAAAGTTACAGAATAAACATGAAATTGGAGGATGGCAGCTTGAGAAGGACCGAGGATGGTGTGGGCTTGTACAGAAAATATTTTTATGTTTCTGTGCCACCCACCACTGTGACTTCTGTAGCGCGTGCCTCTCTTAGAAGAAAATTGTAAGGATGGAATTTTCTATTTTCCAAGAAGGAAATTATGAGGATAATATTAATGCTGGAGAGAAAGAGGAGAGGGGAAGGAGGAGAAGGGAGGACAGAGGGGAGGGGGAGAAGAGGTGGGAGAGAGAGAGAGAGAGAGAGAGAGAGAGAGAGAGGGAGAGACTGAGAGGTGTGTGTGTGGGGGCTTTTCTGGGGCCAGAGGCATTCTTTTCTCTGGGTCCCAAGCTGTACAGTTGCCAGTCTCACTTAAGCTGAAGGCTGCTTTAACTTGAGCTTCTGGGGCCATCTCCTTTGAGAAGTCTGTCTTCCCCACCAGCAGGCAGATAAGCATGGTGTAGGGGGCTTGGGGTGGGAGAGGGGGAGTTAGGGATGGTAGCAGAGGGATGGAGTTGAGGAAATCTCTTCCTGATTGTTTTTATTTCCAGAACTCTTTCACCTAAGAGAACCCTGTGAATGCATTTCTTTTCCTCAGAGTGAAGCAGGAACAAGAATGACACTGCAGACTACAGAAATTTGCTTCAAGAGTCTAGGCAAGGCTGGATCAGGGAGAATTCTTGCTGTCTTGTGTCTGTTATGAATTGGGAAGGAACTTGACATTCTTAATGGCTTCTGTACTGTGGCTGTGCTTTATCAGAGGCACATGCCCCTGGGCTTTCTCTTTGTTTCCTGTTTTGCTTAGGTAAGTAATATCCTTAACAGAAGTCAGAGAAGACTAGACTGGAAGTCACAGTATGTGAGATTTGGAGCCTATAACTAGGTAAATTCAGTCTTAGTATTTTTGGTGTCTTGATGAAAACATATTCATAGGAGCTACCCATTGCTAAAGAAAAGGATTAAAACCCTTAACAGTTGAACTCTGGTTAAAATCCTTAACAAAGGAACTTCAGATAAAGACATCCTGCTCTTGGTAGGCGATGAAAAAACTTTTTTTTTTTTGTACTGGGGATCAAATTTGGGACCTCGAAAAAACTGCCCCCACCATTAAGTTTAGTGGTAGGGCAATACTACCATTTCTTTGTAGTCAGGACCACAGGTTCCTTCTTCTATGGCCCATTAAACTTCGCCTTTAGTACATTAAGTGACTATTTACTAAGTCTAGCCATATGCCACTACTATGATAGTCATCCAATACACCAGGGTGAGAAACAGACAGAAGACCTCTCTCTGTCTGGGTCTCTCTCTCTCATTGTCTTGTGAAGAGACTAGGAGCTTTTTCTCTCAGCTTATAATTTGGTGAGAGACAGACCAAACAAAACAACGATTATAAAAGATGTATGTTCCACTGTTAAGGAAGAATAGCATGTCCATTTTAGCATGTAATGGAGACAAATAACCAAGTGTAGAAGAAAGTGATGGGTAAGTTGAATTCCAAAGAATAAGGAAGTGGTAGTTAGAATAAGGAAGAGGCTATGCATGTCAAGCACACAGAATAGTTAGAGGGAAAGAAAAGACTGGCAGTAAACCTAAAAGTGACACCCTATATATAATTTTTACCATAGCATATCTTGATGCTCTCAGAATTTAGGGACAGGGTATCATAGGCAGGAAAAAGGATAAAATAGGATCTCATTAAGCATTATTAAAGAAATTAATAGGAAAGCTTACTAAGGCAGCTTTGCCTGTACAGTTAGACTCTAGCAATTAAAAAGACAAAGGGAGAGAGAGAGAGAGAGAGAGAGAGAGAGAGAGAGAGAGAGAGAGAGAGACCAGACTTGAGAAAGCACCAGGTAGTACAGTTTACAGAAGAACTTAGCGAGAAGAGTCACAGGCAGAACAGGGATATAGCCAGGAACATGAAGGCTCGGTAACCAGCCCCTGAAAGGCAAAGGAGATAAGAAACAGCTAAGGACTCTTATTTAATATATAAAGCACACGTGTCCCCTTTACTTAATCATTAACTCTAAGTTACCTCTCTACAAGGCCACCCCATCCATCACAAAAGGAGAGGAAGAAATCAAATCAAATGGGCAGGAGAAATGTAGATAGAGGTGTTCAGGTTAGGATCAAAGACAGCCGGAGAGTCAATCAGGTGTCAACCTCTAGATGCCCACAGGGAGAATGGGAGAAATCACTAGTCCTAAATAAAAAGGAGCCAAGGACAAAAATCCGCAGTTATTCACTTCTGATGCTCCCTACACTTCCAAAATAGCTATTTTCATTTTTCCCCTGAGTAAACTACCATCTTTTATATTAAACTCTGCCTCTTTAATTCATGACTGAAGCCAAGAGTTTATGATTCTGGCAGGATCCCTGTGCATGTTCCAGCAGAGCAGTGGCGTGGCGTGGTACCCACTCCTCCCCCAGGAGGTCCACATTTCTTCTTCCTTTGGCTGTGCTACACGATTATTTGTGTCCTTGAAATTAATGATTATGCTTGATATTAAATAAGATCTCTGACTCTTGTGACTCTGATGTGACAACCTGATACAGCAGTTGTGAAAAAGCTTCGATCTGCTACAGGAAGCAGAACTGACTGATGGCCTCAGCTGTCTCCTTCTGAATCTCTCACAGTGTTCATCCCAAAGCCAAACTTCTGCAGCTGGCTGCCAGCTAATGACCAAGCATGGTGGGGCCACAAATGCATGCCGTTCCAATAGGATGTATGGCTTCTCTTTTGGGCACCTTGGGCTTACGAACACTCTCGGATTCGGGCTGAGATTTTTATAGAACTTCAGAGACTGAGAATTTTCTGCCCAATCTGGTTTTTTCCTCACATTGTATTGGACCTGTCTTGTGGTCTGAAGATTCTCCTTGATGCCAGGAAACTCAGCTGGAGGAAAAATAAAATCAAAAGAGAAGCAGGGTAAGGGTGATATCAGTTGGAATGCCCAAACCAGCTACAGTGATGGAAACCATAATTTATTCCTATAACCTGCAAGTTTCCCCTCAGTAGAAGGCCATGAAAACTACAGGGGAGCTGTTTCTCAAACTGGTGTAAAGAAATAGATCTGTGAGGCGAAATTTGTCAGCCATGAAAATAAACTAATCATAGCTCCTGGTGCAGAAACCTGGTTGACTGATGATCGCACTATATATCTGTGATCCACAGCTGAGTTTATGTCAAGGCCACTTGTTCTCTGGGATGTCACAAAGTAGATTCTGACCCTAGTGGAGATCTGAGATATGGTGCAGACCCATCTCTGTGGAATGTGGGACTCCTCTAATGACTAATTTTGTCTCAAGGGCTCTCCGTAGTCTTGGTCAAGACTTTCTTAGAGCTGTCCTAAAGACCGAAACTTTTCCTACTCAATCTTCTTTGCTTTTTTTATTCTTTCGTAGATGTCAGACCTACATTAGAGTCTTAAGTCTCTCTCTGGCTACTCCTGTTTCCTCATATTTATCCTTTAGCCATCTCAAGCATTTTCCCTAATACATTTCCTGTACATTGTGATAGTTAACTTTAGGTCAGGTTGACTAAAGTAAGGGATGCCAAGATAGCTGACAAAGTGCTGCCCTCATAAATCCTAGCAACAGAAGGTCTAGTTTTCAGGCCACTGGACTCAGACTGAATAATATCACCAAGTTTCCTGTTCCTGGACTTATCTGCCTCTATAATCATATGAGCCCATTCTCATAATAAATGTTCTCTTATCTATTGTATTGGTTCTGTTTTTCTGGACAATCCTGATTAATATATTCACCTACATCCACCTTGGATCTGTTTCTTTGAGGGCCTGAACTGACAGAGATCAACGTGTCTGTGGAACTGAATAGAGCAGAAGCAACATACTGAAGAGTGAAAATGGAGGTGGTGAGGGTCAAGAGGACCAGCAGTGGCCCTCTGCCATGTAAAGCCATTTGGAGATTATTCTCAGGTCATTGTGAAGTCAAAGAAAGACTTTAAATGGGTGAGTGATAGGTTTAGAAAAATTGCTCTGGACACAGTTTAAGGAATGTAATGAGAGGGAGGCAGTGTATATTGGGGTTGGCCTGACAAATGACAGTGGGGGTCTAGGTGGGAGTTTATCATACTAACTTGCTTGGTCTTGGAAAGTAAAATCCTGAAGGCCAGAATCCAATTTTGCTGGTGTTGCTGAACTCACACAGCTACTCAACAAATATTTGTTAAGACTGTTTAGTTTTGGGCCGGGGATTTAGCTCAGTGGTTCTGCCACCTGCCTTGTAAGCACAAGGACCTGAGTTCGATCCCCAGTACCAAAAAAAAAAAAAAAAAGAATATCTAGTTTTGTCTTTTTTTGAGAAATAAAAAAATACATTCAAAACTATTCTTTTTTTTTTGAAGTAAGCCTAAACCCCAATAAAAAAAAAAAAAAAAAAGAATATCTAGTTTTGTCTTTTTTTGAGAAATAAAAAAATACATTCAAAACTATTCTTTTTTTTTTGAAGTAAGCCTAAAATCAATTGGTCTCTCACACTGAGTTGTCAGCCTAAGCAGGGAGAAGCATTTTAGTAAATTGTGATCACTATTCTTTGCAATTCTGATGAACTTTCTTTGTGAATCTGTGCTGTTTTGGTACTAGTTCTGACTTAAAAAAAAGTTACTTTCCATCTTAAAAGTCAATTTAAATTTTACTCTGTTAGATATTCTAGAAGACATTATTTGTATACTCAGTCTTTTTCATTTTAATGACAAAAGAGATGTAAAATGTGAAAGAGAAGTATCTGATAAGAAAAAATTAAACTAGTGTTTATTCTTTTAAAAGACACCTTCAAATACTTGCAAGAACATGATGATAGGTTTCTCTTACACACTGTCTTTACTCTTCACAACTCTGAAAGCAGAGATGGCTTCAATGGTGTGTGAATTATGCAGCTAAACATAGTTCCCAGCTTAGAAGGGCTCCATACCCTGTCAACTCCCTAGTGGTTGACGTCACAAAATTATTAGTAATTTTTGAAAAAACTCATTATAAAAATTATTAGTAATTTTTCATTTTGTATTGGGCCCATAAATTATGTAGATGGTCCTATCTGTAAGACAGGTATGGTTATCCTTAATTTATAGATAATGAAATTCAAATTCAGATAATTTAAACAAGTTGCCTAAGGACACATAGCTAATAAATTACAGAGGAAGGACTTGTGTTCAAAGCTCTTGCTTTTCCTATTGTGTTTGTATCCTTCCTTGTGGCTCTGTTTAGAATAGATGTGAGATTAACCTACTGTTATTAGCCCACTTTCCTGTGTTAGTTCATTTGTGCTCAGTAGTAGTGCAACGAATTGGAAACTCAGAGCCTTTGAATACAAATACTGTGCCTTCCATTGCATGTATCCCTTAGAGACCCAGCATCATACTATTTAGGACTTCATTTTTATGGCTCATTGAATAGCAGCATTGGAAGGCACCTGACAGGCCTTCTTTATCTGCCAGTGGGTGACCACCTAGGTGGTGGTGGTAACACAGTTGTTCTTAACTCTGAGTGAACCTGGAACCACCTAGAAAATGCTACTACCTCTGTTCCACTGCCTCGTCTGGAATAGTCCTCACCTGGTGTAGTAGCCTGGAATGAGAACCACGGAATCATGTATTTCCAGGTGAGGAGTCCCTCTTTCAGTCTGTAGACTTTCCAATACATCTTTTCTCTCTTTCTGCCAAGCCCCTTTCTGTGCTTTTGTCCAGTATGATTGGTCAGATACTTATTTTCCATGACATTTCAGCTTATCAGTTGAGTTCCCATGCCAACCTCTAAGACTTTTTTCAGTGTCTGAGGTATAAACTTTCTGGATTCTAAAAGTTTAATTCAATGTAGTAGATAAAGATAAATTATAGGTAAAAATAAAGCAAATTGTTATAGTTAATTGGGACAACTTAATATCTTTCTATTGTATGTTCACTCTTAATTAATAAAATGAAATGTGATTGTGTATTTTTTTACCTTTTGGCCTTCCCTTTGTACCCTCTCCAGCTTTTCACCTCAGCTATTTATGAGGCTTTTTTCCCCCTTCATGAAGTTGTAGTAGATTTTAATTTTACATGTATCACTTAGGAGTGGAGCAGAATCAACTTGATTGAGAAATCATGCTTTTGCTGAAAACAGGTAGCATTCTATTGGTGGTGGGGTTTAAGATTGAGTTAATCCTGCCTTTTTATCTGGTAGTAATCTTGCAGCTAATTTGTATATTTGGAATTCCAGTTTGAGCAATTTAAATTCAAACTCTCTTATAGGGTGTACAACAGTAGGGTAATCTCACATCTATCCTATCTCTCTGGTCTCAAGTAGTAGTTTGCATTGTTGTTCACCCTCATTTCTTCCTCCCTGCAAGGGGATCAGGCACACTTCCTATTGCCCTGTGGCTTGTGAAGTGTTCTCCATCCTCACTGACATCACACTTGACCATTTTTTGGACAATAACATCTGAAGTGTTATGTCAGTGTGCAAATTACACACAGAGATTTAAGAACCATACTGTGGTTGTGCCTGTGCTTCTGCTGCTGCCCTCTATCGTGTTAAGGTGATCCACCCAAGTCCCAGAAGTAAGGAAAACTGTAGGACAGAGCCCAGGAGAGAGACACTGCCAATCCGAAGTCAACAGGTAGAAAGCAGGGAGCAACAGGGCTTCATAAGGTGGATGTAGTTATTTTCTTTATACTTAGGATAGTTTCCACTTGCCTCCCATCCCATCTTGCCTCTCCTCAATGTCACCTTCCTTTGAGTAAAAGCCTTATCCACCATTTGGCTCTAAGCTTTGGACTGCTCACACCCAGTTTCTGGTATGGGGTCCTCTTATCTCAACAATGGCAACTCCTTGGGAGGACCTTGGGTTTTTACTCTCAGCTTCATCCTGCTTCTCTGGCATCACTGCCTAAGCATGCTACACTCTCGTTTCTCCTCATTTGCTGTCACCTTCTATTGCATTGAATGAAATGCAAGATGGTAATCAACCAGAGACTGTATATAGGCCTCTCAGGTTATGGGGTTCCCAAAACCAGCTGGAAATGGCTTCTCTGTCTTCCACTTTCCTAATCTCAATTATTCTCCATTCCCGTGTTTCTTACAAATAGCTCCCAATAGCTGGGAATGAGCTTTATCCCTTTCCAGTTTTCTGGGATACTGCTCTTCCCTTATATCCTGCATTAGCTGTATACTTACAGCGAAAACTCTTTGGTTCTCTAAACTTGGCTCCTTGGTCATGAAAGCCCTGCTTTGAAGATTATGAGAAACCTTTTTTTCTTTCCAGTTCCTGCATTTTGCTACTAAAAGCCAGCACCTCCTTGAAGAGTCAACCTTGAAAGTCAAAGATGAACAATTAGATAAATTATTGATTGTATTGCCACTCAAATATATGGGTTAGGTTTATATTGGCTACAATAATATAGTCATCTTCTTATCGCCATCAGAGTGTTAAGTCAATGGGAGTTTTTTTCCCTTCCACCTCCCTCAATAATCTAATGTGAATATCCTTGGTTGTCAGTTGGTTTTTTTTGCATGTGATGACTTGGGGGTGGTCTCAGTCTCCTTTTACGTTGTGGTTCAGGTAATTCCTAGAGCTTGATTTTCCTTTGTAGTTAGCAGAGGTGGAGATGGGAGTAGAAAGAGGGTGAAGGTGGCGTGGATTTTGGGACAAGTGGGAGTCAGGGAGAGTCTACTTCTAGGTCTCCAAAGCCTTGTAGGAAATGGCACACAGTCCTGTATTCACACTCAGATGTGGAGATGTGCAGTAGGTAGGGCTTGAAATGTGCCCTTGGGCTGGATGGCCACTTTCTGGTGATGAGCAGTACTATGGGAAGGGGAGCAGAAGTCTTGGTGGACGGCTAGCCATCTCAGTTATAGTATTCTACTTGGTTATATACCCCACATATTCATATATCCATTAATTCTCTTAAAAACAGAATTCACTGGAGACTTTCCTATGAAGCCACACTGTATCTTGTAACCGGTTTACTATTATTATTAATTATTATTATTATTATCTTTATTAAGTTTATGGGTACATTCTAGGTACACAATACATTTACATTCATCATTGGGATCTTGTACCTTAACAAGGCTTATCTTTGTTCTTATTTTTCCCCATCCCCCAGCCCTCCCTTCACCCCCTCCATCCTTCCCTCTTTACAAAGATATTGTTTCCACATTTTTCCTTTTTATGTATTTTTTCTTTGCCCCTTTACCTTTCCCCTACCCCTCCTACTTCCTCTACTCTTTTAGACCTTTTCTTCCCATTACGTAATATCAATTATACACTTTGATTCTTATTTACACTTTTAGTTTTTCATGCCAGAGAAACTATTCAGTATCTACACATGTGTGACTTATTAATTTCACTTAAGAGTGTGGCCTCAATGTGCATCCACTTAGCTGTTACTATCTCTAGTTTCTCATTCTTTATGGCTGAGTAGTACTCCATTTTATTAAAAAAAACCACATCTTCTTTATCCAGTCTCTAGTTGTTGGGCAATTGGGCTGTTTCCAAGTTTTAGCTATTACAAACTGTGCAGCTATAAACACAGGTGAATATAAATCGCTGTGGTATGATTCTTTTAATTCTTTTGGGAAGATAGCCAACAAAGGGATGGCTGGGTCAAATGGGATTTCTAATCCTAGTTGTTTGAGGTATCTCCATATTGATTTCCACAGTGGTTGCACCAGTCTGCACTCCCACCAACAATGAAGAAGGGTTCCTTTCTCCCACAACCCTGCCAGCATTTGTTACTGGTTGATTTCTTGATAGCAGCCATTCTTTCTGGGGTGAGGTGGAATCTCAGTGTTGTTTTCATCTGCATCTCTTGAATGACCAGTGATGTTGAACATTTTTTCATGTTTATTTGCTGCTTTTGCTTTTTTGTGTGAGAAATGTCTATTCATTTCAGATGCCCATTTTTGAATTGAATCTTTATATTTGGGGGGGCATGACTTTTTAAAGTTCTTTGTATATTCTTGATAGT